GGCTTTGGGTATATCATAGCAAGATTCCCATGTACCCCATATTCTATCTACTTTAGGGGGACTCCATAGATATACACATACCCGTGTTGGTGGCGATGCTTAACATCCGTACAAAAGATCAAAATGAAGTGACACATAAGTTTCCTCACAGGGGCCTTACATAGCCCTAGTTCAGGATCCCCGAACTTAAGAAACCCCATGTGTTCCCTAAGCTAACTTTCTTGAGCGTCAAATCCTGATCCTGAGTGGTAACCTAGGCAAGAGCACTTCGGGGGCTGTTCGGCCACGTCATCCTATCCTGGGTGATGACCCTCCAGGTTGGGAGAGTGCTAAGGCTTAGGGCTTGAGGGGACTTGAGTTCAATTGTTTAGGTTTTGCAGCGCTGATAGTTTGGGTTCCGGGTTAGGCTTCATGGCTTGTTCGAGGATCTGTGTAGGGACAAGTCAGTTAGTTAGAGAGAGGGAGAGGGAGAGGGAGAGAGTGTGTGTGTGGCTGGCATGTCCTTATGGCGGTACCTAAGCCTACATGTAGTCCCAGTTTGATTTTCAATTTCCATGTTCTTTTCCATTTCATTCTCCGTGATCACCCCAAACCCCAATATACCCCTACAGGTTTGCAACAGCTTGAGGCTTTGCCTCGAAGAAGCTCAAGAAGCACACAGCCTTCAGAAGAAGAAAAGAGACTAAGAGTGGGAAGAGAGAGAGAGAGAGATGGATGCATATATATATATATACAAATGTATATATTCTACAGCTTCTTCTAGCAGGACAGAGAGAGAGAGACAGAGCGAGCGAGAGAGCGAGAGCGAGAGCGAGAGAAGAGGAAGAAAGGAAGGAAGGAAGGAATGAAAGAAGGAATTAAGGAAGGAAGGAAGGAAGGAAGGGTGAAAGAGAGAGAGGAACATAATCACATGCATTGTAAATGCGTTACCAAGTACCTAATCAGGAACCTTGAAGCAGTGAGATGCAGGGAGGAGTGACACAGAAACTATACTCTCATGTTGGTGTATCCTTTGAACACTCCTCAACCTTTCCTCGGCTTAGGTTCGATGTCTTTTCCGACGTTTTTCCCTCTGACTCTGGGTGAGCGAAGTGCACCGGATTACAGGAAACTAGAGGGTGGGGTAGAAGAAGACCGGGGGGGGGAGAAGGGCCTGAACTGACCTAAATCCGGTGAACACCTAGCCCCAGAAGCCTGACCGTGACCTATCGGGCTGGGGGACCGAAGAAGAAGAGAGGAACATATATACCTATATATATATACACATATATATGCATATGTATTTTCTTCTTCTGGCAGAAGTGAGAGAGGGAAAGAGACAGGAACATGTAAGTAAAAAGGAATATATATATATGCATTTATGTTCATCAGGCATATATATATACATATGTATATATTCTTCTTCTAGCAGAGGAGAGAGAGACAGAGAGAGAGAGAGAGAGAGAGGGAGAGGGAGAGGGAGGGAGAGAGAGACAGAGAGAGACAGAGAGTGTGGCATGTAAAGAAATATGTATATTTATATACACATATGTGTGGTTTCCTCTTTCAGCTGAAGAGAAACAGAGAGAGAGAGAGGCATATACATATGTATATGTATATATACATATGTATACATATATTCTGATCCTAGCAGGAGACAGAGAGAGAGAGAGAGAGAGAGAGCGAGAGAGAGGCATATCCATATATACGTATATATGCAGTTGTATATATTCTTTTTCTAACAGAAGAGAGAGAGGGAGAGAGAGGCATGTATACAAGCAAATATTTACATAAATATATAGGTATATATACATACATATATATATATATTCTTCTTCGGGCCTCCTAGGTGGGACTGAGCAGGACGGAGTGCGTGCGGCTCCATGCAGTGCCTGGGGGGGTAGTAGTACCCCCTATAGAGCCCTAAAGACGGAAGAAGCGGAAGAAGAAGAAGAGAGACGGAAGAGAGAGACAGAGAGAGAGAGAGAAAGACCCTTGGGCTGGTGGGGCGCCCCCGTGCGCTCCGTGAGGGGTGCACAGAGCAGGAAGAAGAAGAACATGATGATGAACAAGAAAAGAAAGAGAGAGAGAAATATCTATATATATATACACATAAGCATATAGACATATAGTTACTTCTGTAAGTCAGGAGCCCCCTTGCTGAGAGTCGTTCTAAAGAATACGTGTAGTATCTTGGGGTCTGTGGACCTTTATTTTCTCGAAGATTTAAAAATCTAAATCTGCGCGCCTATGCGCCTATTGAGTGGCCTAAACGAGTAAACCTATCCACGTGGAGGCGGGATGGGCAGGATAACGTAGTCATGTTGAGGGCAATTATGCGTATTAGAGGGTGAACCCGAAACGCTAAATCGCGGGATCTTTTTTGGAGATGCCCATGTTAGGGACAAGGCTGGTATGACTGATTCCCCGACATCTGACATCCTTAGCCCTAGACATTGTTTCTTTTGGGGTTGAGGGTTCAGGGTTTACTGCCAGGTATCCTCGGCCCACCTGACTCCATGATGCCAGAGCTTCTCATCGCGAAGGCCTTGCCAGAGCCCCCAGAGGCGGCTTCATTTTTGCAAATTCCAGTTGAGTGTTTAGGGTTTAGGTATTGCGGCTTAGGTTTAGGGGGATGATGGGGGTCTCTTTCAGGGATTATCTAGGGACCACTGTCGGAAATACTTACATGGCGGTTTCCAAAACAAAGGGGGGACCAATATAGAGCCCAACATATTGCGATCCCTGCGGTAGGAACTCACCTTAGACACGCTACCTAATTGTGGCCAAAATCCCACATAGAGCCCCCAAAATGTTCAGACATGTAATTGGGATCTGCTTTGTGAGCGCTTGCAAAGAGGATTCATAACTCATAACCTTGAGAAACACTTAGGTCACTGTCCCACGCGAAGCTACTCAGAAGCTACCCGCTCATGCAGAGTCCCTGGCAACAACTGCGGCAGAAACCGCAGAGGATCCGCCAGAAAGCAGAGTCTCAAAGAAGTTGTCCTTGAAATCTCAGGAAGGTGCGCCAGTGTGTGCCACAATGACAGATCACACGTCAAACACTATCAAGGAGCACATTGAGCAGACCTTGCGCATGCGGCTTGGCACGACCAGAAAAATGGTCACAGGCCAAGAGTTGCATGACGCAGTGGTTGCCCTAGGCCTGACAAGGTACTCCCAGAGTGATGTGAATGCAGTTGTGAACAAGCTTGCCGCCTTTGTGCGCTTGCGCTTTGAGACGACGGACAAGAAACCTCCAACGCGAATGCAGCACTCTGGAACTTTATCCAGAATGATAGGCCTGCAACACATGACGACGGGTGCCACTCAGTCTCTGGAGGTCACAGTAGACGAGCGCTCGAAGGCAATCTGGGAATGGCCCCATGATGGTGTAGCTTCCATGGCAGATTTCCTTCGTGGCAACGTTTCAGAAGGTAATCCTTCTGCCCAGCACAACGTTGTACCGTTTCAAGCCTTGGCCATGGCATTTGCCATGGAGGGCGACGGAAAACGAATTTTTGGTAATTCAGCCGAGCTCTTCAGGGCCATAAAGGAGATCTCGGCAAATCATTGTATTTACTTTTGGGTATATACCGAAAAGGGCGTTCCTGTAGGATTCTGCATTGTATCATGTGCCCGAGAGGAGATCCTGCTCGCTGGGGACACCAACCGCTTGGTCGCGGAGTTAACATTCGTTCGAATTAATGATCTGGCCGCACCGACCCCTCCAGTAGATCCGGTTCTGTACATTGAGCCGTTCGTGGCTTTGCTTATTGTCTCAAATGAAGCTAGGCAGTGTTCGGTATGCTTTGCCTTGCCCTACTGTTGCTTAACAAGATTGATTTGGTAAGCGCTTCTACGAGCTCACGCGACTCAGGCATTCATTTTAGGCCTGCAAACCGATCAGTCGTGGGAGCACTGGACTGGATGGCAGTGGATTGAAGTAGTTTTTACTCTGGTGTTCTGTATTGAGATCATGGTTCGAATACGGTTGGTGGGACCGCGAAATTACCTGTGTGGGCTAGAGTCCACCTGGAACTACTTCGACATCTTTCTGGTGTTTCGGTCTTTGTTGGAAAACGTTTTCCAATTTTATTCAGTATTTTTCATAGATATACAGTGAAGCCACAATCTTGATTACTCGAAACACCTAAACCCGAAGGCCTAAACCATTTGACTCTGCCCAGGTAATGGCAGGGCTGACCGACATCTTGATTACAAATCTTGAGACTGAGTCCGAAGCCGCAGCCACGCAGCTGTTGCGTGCTCGTCCCACTTCAGTTTTACGGGTTTAGGGTTTTGGGTAGGCGTGATGTAGGTGGGTGGGACCTCCGGAGAGTGAAGATAGGCACTGTATCGAATGGTTACCCGGGCTTTCGGGTGATTCTTGGGAACCCATGATCAGCAACAGTAAGGTGCCTGTCGCTTGGTCAGATTGACACGGATGTTTAGAGTCTTCCGCTTCAAGTTCATAAAGGACAGGGAACCCAGACACTTACTGATGCATTTTTTCAGCTGGGGATGAAATGTAGGTACCATATTCTGGGTGCGTTTGAGGATTTTACAGGGGGTATTGCAGGACCCTCCCCTGTGAAGCTTATGAGCACTAGTAATGCAAGGGAGGTAGGCTGAAACTTTGCTGCACACCATTTCGGTTTAGGGTATGGGGTTCAGGGTCACTCGAAGGTAGATGTGAACCCTAAACCCTATACCTAAACCCTAAACCAAGAACAATACCTCTCAAGGTTAAACAATCTTTATTATGCGGACCCTTATACATGTGAACCTCTGACTTCGGACCCTAAACCCTAACCAGATTATATAGGGATAATGGAAAATATCCTGGAAGCTAGCTTTTTCGGTGGAATATATGGGGTTATATAGGGATAATTGAAATAACATGGAAACGCATATATTAAACGATTTTAAATTATATTATACTATATTAAATAGGGTATCTGTCATCCCTCTACTCTCCTTGTTGCCTGTCATGATTTTCGTGCATCTCGCAGGAGCTTCAGTTGATGATCAAGGGTCTCGTCGGGGGGCTGCGGACGCTTTGCCTGGCATTTGCGTTGCTGTTCAGCGTGCTGCATCTTGGTCTATTTGTGAGAGATTATTCTGGAAAGCGTTTTTTTCCCGGAGTTTCCATTTTATTTTCAGTATCCCGATAGAACCCCTATATATTCCCTGATATAATATGGTAGCTTCCATTATATTTCCAGGTATGCTGCGTGAAGGCTCCAGTATGTTTCAGGGCAGATAAAGGACCGATATGCTGAGAAAGACCCCTTCGGATGAAGTTTTGCAAAGCAATATGGAGCCAATGCAATGGCTTGAAACTGTCTCAAAACATCCCCCTGCATGATCTCGAGTAGGGGCCCTGGAATTTCTTTCCTTTTCGCGGGACCTATCCCTAGGATTCTCGGTGACCCATTTTGAGAAAGGCAAGTTTTCAGTGGTGTTCAGAACACGGCCAGGTACGTCATTGCAGTATTTGCAACCATCGCCATCGGCCGAAGCCTCAGCAGTCTTACGAGCTTCACGGGGTAGATCTGAGGTTGAGTTAATCCGTGCTCTTGATTAATAAGGGCCCCCCCCTATATTAATAGAAAATCCTCATTATTACAGGGGCCCCAGATGCCAGAAGGAGATTTTCATTGTAAACAATGTCCACTGAATCCCCGATTGGGGTCCCAGGAAAATCAAAATAAATTCAATCAAAATCCATTGAAATCTGATTCGGCTCCGATGAAAATCAATATAGATTTCATTAGAATCAATTGAAATCTGATCCGGTTCCGATTAAAATCAATATGAATCTAATTAAGGTCCTTTGAAATCTGATTGGACTCCAAGTAAAATCAATTGGAATCTAATTAAAAAACCATGTAAAACGGATTTTCTATGATTCTGGTGTGTTTTTCCATTAATCCATGCAGAAACACCGGTAAGGTGTAGCTCAGGAAGCAACGTTTGGCCCTGAAATTCCTAACAAAGTTTAGTAAGCAAATCCTGTTTGCGGGGCCCTCTCTGAAGTCTAGAGTTAGCAAGTCCCTACTGCTACTGCTACTGCTACTACTACAACTACAACTACAACTACAACTACTACTACTACTACTACTACTACTACTAGCCGCCCCCCCCCTTGGGGCCTACACTTTACTTAAAATGGAATATAAAATCCCCGAGGAGGCGGCCAGTAACAATAGTAATGTTAATGTGACGATTGCTGCCCGGACCTAGCAGGCGTGGGTTAAGTGGCCATCTCTT